CGAGCGCGGGCGAGCTCAGCAAAAACAGAGTTTTACTGATCCATACCCCACTTGCTCCCGCTGCCATCGTGAACGCAGCCAAAAGCAATGACTTTGTTGAATTTTCGACTTAAAAGCAGAAGTTCACTTGAAGCTGCAAGTTGATAGACTATTCGCCCTAGTGTCACACTGGCTGTGGTGAGTGATGATTCCATGGTATTTTTTTCAGTTATATTTAAACATTTCTATTCGTTTTTGTTGCCTAAGCTCTTTTCTCCCTCGTTTTTTTTTTGTCGCTTGACTTCTTTTGTCTTTTCTCTTCTGCTTTATTATCTTAGATTTCTTCCTTTTCTTTTCTATTCTCCCTCTATCAATTTCTCTTTATCAGTCTTTCACAGTTTGTGCATCAATATATATATATATATATATTTATGTATTTCATTTTACTAAAAAATAAAACCATATTGTAATATCTGCCTCGAAAACATTCTCCATATAACGGAGATTCAGTGAGTGTATATAGAATAATTGGTACTTTTATATTGTCAACGATAAAGATGATAACGTTAAGAGTAGTGTAAAGGGAGAAGTAGTGTTGAAAGCTAGAGTAGCAGTAATAGTAGTAGTAATCATAATGTAGAGTAAGGGTGGCATGAATGTGCTTGGAAAGCGTCATATATATATATATATATATATATATATATATATATATATATATATATATATATATATATATATATATATATATATACACACACACACACACACACACACACACACACATACATACATATATATATATATATATATATATATATATATATATATATATATATATATATATATATATATATATACACACACATACATATATATATACATATATATATAAACACACACACATACATATATATATACATATATATACGTATATATATACATATATATATATATATATATATATATATATATATATATATATATATATATATATATACATATATATATATACATATACATATATATATATATTTACATATACATATACATATATATATATATATATATATATATATATATATATATTTATATATATATATATATATATATATATATATATATATATATGTATGTATATATATATATATGTATGTATATATATATATGTATATATATATATATATATATATATATATATATATATATATATATATATATATATACATACATATATATATATATATATATATATATATATATATATATATATATATGTATATATATATATATATATATATACACACACACACACACATGGGGGTAGGTAGATGTATGTATCCATATGAATATATTGTAACTGAACAATCCCCACATCGTCATTTACGTGCAGTGAAATAAATGAACTTAAAAAAATAATTCCTTGTATTTTCCTCCAAACACAACTTACTCATCATCATCATCATCATTATCATCATTATCATCATCATCATCATCCTCACTATCACTATCATCATCATCACTATCACCATCACTATCATCATCACTAGCATCATCACTAGCATCATCACTATCATCATCACAAGCGTCATCACTATCATCATCACTAGCATCATCACTATCATCATCACTAGCATCATCACTAGCATTATCACTAGCATCATCACTAGCATCATCACTAGCATCATCACTAGCATTATCACTAGCATTATCACTAGCATCATCACTAGCATCATCACTAGCATCATCACAAGCGTCATCACTATCATCACTAGCATCATCAGCATCATCACAAGCGTCATCACTATCGTCACTAGCATCATCACTATCATCATCACAAGCGTCATCACTATCATCACTAGCATCATCACAAGCGTCATCACTATCATCACTAGCATCATCACTAGCATCATCACAAGCGTCATCACTATCATCACTATCATCATCACAAGCGTCATCACTATCATCACTAGCATCATCACAAGCGTCATCACTATCATCACTAGCATCATCACTAGCATCATCACTAGCATTATCACTAGCATCATCACTAGCATTATCACTAGCATCATCACTAGCATCATCACTAGCATTATCACTAGCATTATCACTAGCATCATCACTAGCATCATCACTAGCATTATCACTTTCACTAGCACTATCACTTGCACTATCACTATCACTAGCACCATCATTACCATTATCATTATCATTAGTAGTAGTGAATGGTTAATGGTTAAAAGCAAAATAAATGTGCTAGACATCTAAGATCATGTAGCACTATAGTAAAGGTTAGTGAAGGGTGGTTGAGTTAGTGATTAGTTGCCAAAGCTGGGCAAAGGAATTGGTGAGTGAGTGGGTTAAGGTCGGGTGAAGTAATTTAAAGGGATTAGATTAAGTGAAGGATATATATATGGAGGTTATATAAGAGGAACATTACTTAAGGAACATAAGGGGTGGATCGGATTGTGACATCAGATAGGAGTGTGTTAGACGGGTGTGGCCAATGCGTAAGCGGGCGAGAGCCGTCTCCCAACGTTTGTTCCGATGAAGTGGAGCTGACCAGGAGGAGATTGATGGTTTTATAGTATGTAATTTATTAGTGCGGAGACTTGACCAAAAAGATTGCCATCGATTATACAAGAAGGTCTTAAAGTGTGGATAATAATCCGTGGCTGGGGTACGTGAGAAACGTGGTTAGTATAATGTGGACATAGTAGGGTAGCTTGCTAGAGTATCATTGCCGGGGATTCCAACATGGCTGGGCATCCATCAAAATTTGATTGTTTTATGGCGTGTGGACAGGTAGAACAAAAAAGTTCTGGATCTTACAAGGGGGTTGGTGGTGTGTATTGACTTTATGAGAGTTAGTGTGTTACGGGAGTCAGTAAAAATTGTAAAAGAGGAGGAGGGGAGTGAGTATATGTATTTCAAGGCAAAAAGGAGTACATACAGTTCTGTAGTAAGGACACTGGATTCAGGAGGGAGGGGGTATTTGAAAGTACGATTAGGGAAGATTACTGCAAAACCAGCACCGGAGGTGGATTTGGAGCCATCAGTATATACGTGAATACTGGAGGAATGAGTGGAGACATGGTCAAGGAAATGGGTGAGAAGGACAGCAGGAGGAATATTAGATTTTGGTGGGTCAGGGAAAACAGAAGAACAGATATGGGGGTAAAGTGTAAGCCATGGAGGGACAGAATGGACTGAGAACGAGATGGGGAAAAAGGGGAATAGGAGAGGAGGGTATCCATGCGAGTGGAGAAAGGAGTAGTTAAACGTGAAGAAGAAGCAAAGGTAGGAAGTAGGGATCGTGGGATAGTTAGTTTAG